TATTATTATAATTTAATTCCTAAGATTAGAAATTTATTTATAATCCATAAAATTTCACAAAATATTTTTTAAATCATTATAACTAGACAACTACATCAAATTAATTTTGATTAAATTATTATGTATAACCAAATCAAATTCCTAATTCATGTCAACATTCATATATCATGTTTTAATTTCTATCCTTAAAAATTTTCTTTTGTTCGAGAATCCTTATGATTACGAGAACTATAAAGGAAATTTAATTGGTAAGGATTAAAACTTGATATAACAATAATATATGGAATAATAGTCAATGTGATTGTATAAGTATTAAGATATTAAAGAATATTACGTGAAATTTCATAAATTGTAAATAATTTTCTCATTCTGAATTAAATTACAATATAAAAAGATGAAAGACTTAATTATAATTTTATTTATCCATGAAAATCACAATAACAACCACAGGACTTAAACTCGAATCTAGTGTATACTACACCAATCTTTTTCAAGTTTTTTTTTTTTAGTTTAGGAATTTAATTGAAAATTTTTAAAAGGTTTAAGGGCTAAATAATGTATTAATCCTAAATTAAATGATTTAATTTTTACATCGTTGTTTTTGTAAGAACTTTGAATAATTAAAATAAAATAATAAATTTTATTTTATTATTAATTTAACACTTCTTTAATTAAAATCTTTTTAATATAATAAAAAATGTGATACAAGAACGAAATTAAATTAATTCAGAATTATTAAACTCATAAATATATATTAATATAATAAGATGTGATTTTGAGAATAAAATTATGAAAAATTGTAATTTTATAAATATATAATTGCGCAAGTATAATTGAAATGTAAATTCTATAGTTAAAATTATATATTGACTTAAACTACATTAAATTTTAAAAATGAAAAAAAAAAGATCTAATCTTATAAAAAATATTTTTGAGTTTTCAATTTTATTTAATTTTCCATGATTTTATTCAAATTTTCAATTAATATTAAAGTAAATCAGTTTCTAAACAATCACAATCTAAATTCTTAGTATTATATCCATCTTTAATCCAAAGAAACCCAGTTCAAAAAGGATCCCAAGATTCGGGAAAAAGGATTCAACAATATATAGATAGAACCTTTGAACGATGGAAGAACAATTTCTTTTATTCTACGTCTACTTTTTTTCATTTTTTATACACATTTATTTATTCTATATTTACATTGACTCGAGGAAAATAAAGGCCAAGAATAAAATGCAATAGTGTAACGAGCTTGGCTGCTAATTAAAAAGAAGCATATTCCACAAAAAGTGACTTTTATAGGATTAGAAGCGTGTGTATAATTTTCGAAGTTCAATCTGATATAACTTCTCATTTGAATGCTATAAAAAAGTGAGATTTTTTTTATGTATAAAAAAGTGTGACTTTTAAAATTAATAAGAAAATATTCAAATATTATTCTATTTTAAAATTATCTTTGGAATATTTATATTAAATTTTTGTAATTAATTTTATTTAATATTTTTAAATAATAATAAAAGTAATTATTTTAATTTTTCTTTATACATAGTTTCAAAAATTCTATTTTCACTGAAAAATTGTTAATAGTGTTCTATAAATAATATATGTATTTAAAAAAAAATTGATATAACTCTAGTAATTGGACCAATTTTGTGTATACATGTCAAGTTAGTTTAATTGGGCGTGAAAAATGAACCAACAAAAAAGAAATAATTGACTTTCGCACCACACTTTCAAATACTTTATTTCTGACTTTCACTTTATCATTAGGTAAAATGTATGTGGATTTCACTGAAAACACATGCCCATTAATTGTTGTTTAGTGGAAAGTTTATGTGGAGTAATTACTTTTTCTCTACACAGACAATTAATGTAAAACAAACTTGGACCTCATACGGAAATAATTTTATCAAGACAGTATTTGATTCAACTTTTCTGAACTTTTTTCTTTCCTTAAGATGAGATCACGTGAAGTTAGACAAAAACATTTACTTCTAAAGCGAAAAAAAAAACCTCTTTAATGAAGAAAAAGAAACTACCACAAAAAGCTAAATTGAGAGTCTTTCTCTTCTATTTTAAACTTTTTATTATTATTTTTTTATCGATGCGATTACTATTAGAATAGCCATGGCCTTTTAAATATTTCTAAGATCACCATTTAGGATGAAATTTTACATCATAATCGTCTCAATCATGAAACTGGCCCCTCGTACCGTTGCAATGAATGCATGACATATAGTGCAAACTCCTCCACCACTAAAATCAACGCATGTCGATAGCAACTCCACAAGCTATAACACAAAGGTGGAGGGTGTTGTTGGGACTAGGAAAAAAGAGCATATTGGTCTTCATTTTCATTTATTTATTTATTTAATGAGAATATTAAGAAAATTATACAACAACTCATACAACTTGTTCAATCAATTTTTTTTAATAATGGTGAGATTTTGTATTTAGGGCGTGTTTGGATGCGCGTTGAATGAAGGTAACACGCGTATTTTCTTCAAAAAAAAAAACGTGATTCCTCCTTCTGAATGGATATTTGGGTTTTTTTTATCACATGATTTTAAAGGTAAAAATTAATTTTGGCTGAAGCTGAAAAAGATAGCTTCTGCGTCCAGGAAATTGATTTTAGTAAATCAATTCTTCAAACATAAATCCAAACACGCACTTAATCTTTATATTATATCAATTATAAATTAAAAACAAAATTAAAATCATACAAGATTTAGTAAAAAAAAATATACAAAATTTTATAGTCACAAAGCAGATTAGACTCATTAGATCAATTTGTCTAACTCATTAAAATTGAAGGAAAATGATTCAGCTTCCGAATATAAATGCCAAAATTCTCTCCAAACAAATAAAATAATAATATAAATTATAAAATATTAAATTAAATAATTATTTTATAATAAATTTATTAAAAAATATTAATATTTTAAAGATTCGGACCATAATTCGAAGATCCTTTCGGACTGTATAGCATAACTCAAAGATAAAATAGATAATTCAACCTATTAACCTATTTTATCCCCTTATATCTAATTTATCCTTAACTTATTTATAACCTTTTAATATTAAATGTAAATATAAATAAGTTTGTATTTTATACAATTAAAAAGGATATACTATATATATGTTTTACAATAAATGATTTGTGTTAAAAATAAAATAAAAATAATGTTCTTTTAATATATATTTTTCTTTTGAATTTTGACATGTCAACTAAGTTAACCTATCATTTTATAACTTGCCAACTTACCGTACTATCTTTTAGGACACCAACCTATAAATAAAATAAAAATAATGTTCTTTTAATATTGGTTTGGCACGTGAATTTCACCATGAAATTAAAGTTTATAGTCGCGGTTAAGGCTTTTGCATTTTAATTTTTATATTTAAAAGTTATTTTAGCTAGAATTAAAATCAAATTTTCATCATAAACTTACAAAATAGCATATTGAAGTTCTTTCATATTGACAATCAACACCTTAATTATTAATTCCCTAAGAAACGTTTGTATACACCTCAGGATTGGGCACGTTCAAAAAAAAGGCATGTCCCTACAGCTTCTTCAAGAGACATTTATCAGGTTTTGACAAGACAAGCGTCTGATCTCTCGTGTTATAATTCGTCTCTTCGTCTTCCTCATAAAAACGCATATTTTAATTCCTCTCTAATTTTAATCTTTCTTAGTTCTTTTATAATAATTAATGCAATTTTCATCCCATCTGTCTAAGTACCAATATGTAATTATTGAATCGTTTGCATTCATTTAATTATGGTAATTTTGTCATCATTACGATTGAAATTATTATAAATATTAATAGAACCGATATACTTTTATATTTTATTTAATAAAAATATTAAAAATTACCATTATTTATTAAATTAATTGGTAGTATATTTGATTATTAAATTTTAAAATCTTGAATTTCAATTTTAGATTTATAAAAATAGTTAATTTTCATTGTTTAAAAATTTAAAGATAAAATTATTTTAAAAAATTATGTATAGATATCAATCATCTTCTTAAATAATTGTAGTCAATTTCATTGCTGAAGTATTTTTTTTTTTATGTGGTCTTTAAAGTTAAAAAATTACTTAAGTAATCTACATGTATGAATCATGCTAAGTAGCCATTCAAATACATTTTTAAAAAAATCTTCAAACTAATCCCTAAACTTCATTCAAAACTTAAAGAGTTAAAACAATGGATATTCAATATTCCAATTATTACTAAAACAATTTTATTATTTTAAGGACGACTTAGGAGAGAGGATAATAATACGAGGATAAAATTGGTTATTAATTTATTCATATTTATTTCATACATCCAAAATTGCTATTATTTGTAGTATTTTGTAGATTTTCACATTCATTCTTATTTGCTAAAATAACTATACCAACATCCGAGTTTAATTAAAACTGAATTAAACATTTCAATGTTATGCATTTTTTTTTACAACTCAAATTAAAATTTTATAATTCTAAACTGATTTATCATATTAGATCAAAATAAAAAGTTATTATGAGCCCAAAGAAGGAGAATAATTGTTGGAAATTCAAATTGTTAGGAAATATTTTTAATATGAACTTCGTTAGTGGCATTAATTTTTGTTTTTTCGTTTCGTTCAGAAATTTAATTTTAAAATTTCCAAATATTAATAAAAAAATTAATTATAGTAATGAATTACAAATCAAATCGCCTCCATAACTTTAATTCCAGAAAAATATTTTACATTATAGAATTAAAATTCGAAATTTTAAAAAATAATATTCATAAACTAAAAATTTTTAATACATCAAATGCTTTTTTAGGATTAAATTTTAAAAAATGAGAATGATGCAACTAAAAAATTATAGTGCAAAAAGGGACTCCTTAAAATGACCCAACAAAAGGTGGGCTTACTAGGCTTCTGGAGAGGCCCATTATCCCGTGAACAAAATGGATGAACTTATTAGTAGAATCATTGTCGAGGATTGTCTTCTGGTGCAGCGTTTCCATCTTAAACTAATGTAATCTCATTAATCAACGGTCAGAATTGATATTGATAGCATCTGCATAACCGTTGGATCAAAAGTTTTGAAGAAGCGAGGGCAAAGTACCGAACTGGCTACATTTTGTGCCTCACTGTGACCGGCTCATGTTCTGTTTTTGCCGCTCAATTTCCCTCTTACTGGCTTTGTTGGTGGTTTCAGTTGAGAGAGAACGGCGAAGTGAACTTCGCACTATTCTCTGAAGCAACCGCAATTTCTTTTCGAGCCTACCGTGTTGTGGTAACGTTTTGCTTGGACTCTAATCTCAATTTGTGCTTGTTTCTTTCCTGAACAATTCCAAGTGTTCAAAGAAGATTCGCAGTCATTGTATGGTGCGATTCGAACAAGTGCACTACTCTCAAGTATTGCTGAAATTCATTTTTAACTTCACTCCTCTCATACATGCATAAGAATGTGATATTCAATTTTTTTTTCTTTCTTTCTCATTCTATTGCCACAAATACATCATCATTTTTTTTTCTATTGCTTTTTTTTTGCTTCCTATTTTAGTATTTTTTTTCCTGCTAATATTTCGCTAATTGAGCTTATATTGAAATGTTATTGAATCTAAAAGATATAAACGTGGGGAAAAGTAGAAAGTGATTAAATTCTGGATTTCGTGTTCTAGCATTTTGATGATAAATCATTGACAGGGATTTATAAGTGTCAATGAGGAACTTCTGTTTACAATAACGATAATAATTGCCATTATATTTTTTTTACGATTAGTGTTTGACTTCAGACTATTCACTTCAGCTGCTGTCATGGATTATGATGAGGAGTGTTCAATTGTTCTTGAATTATCTGAAAGGGATCCTTTCTTTGACAAAAAGAAGGTAAGAATAAGACAATCAATTTCAAATGTCATCTTGTTATTCTTTTGTTTTTTACTGTTTATAGCTCAATTTTCTTTGTAATAAAAAATCCTTAATAATCCGAAAAGAAAATGGTGAAAGCCTTCAATTTGTTGATAATAGAAAATATATATTCCTACGAAATTCTATAATTTTTTCTGGTTGAGGTGTTTCAAATATGATAAAAATTAGGTGACAAACGGCAGCAAACTACTCCATATCATGTTATCATGAGTAAAATTTAAAGGCAATAAAATTGCACAATGATTAAACATGCTAATACCTGCCTGTGGTTTATCTTTTCTGAGTCCTTAGCCATTTCTATTTACTGACTGATCTGCATTGTCTTTTTATCAGAAATTACTACAAAGTAAGGGTTTTAGTCCCAAAGAACGGATATACCTCAAGAGCTCTTCAAAACCTGGCTGGATGAATGCTACTGTGGAGGTGTTACTTCATATTGCACGAATCATACAATTAAATGAGGTTACTTCCTTTAATACTCTCTGTAATATATAGTTACTCATCAATTTAAGGACAGACTAGAGCTAAGGGATTGTAGTTATCTTGGGATTTCTCACACATCTTTATGTAGTCAGGTTATCTTCTCAATCTATTTGACAAGAAATACAGAAATGCATTACACCGTGATTTTTTTGTCCTTTTCTACTCCCCTCTTCACTTTTGGGAATTTAACAAGTCTTGAATTAACTGATTTACTGAAGTTCAGCTGGAACTTTATTTTGCTGAAGATGATGTATGCGCATCAATGGAGTTTTACAGTTCCAGGAATGAGTTGGAGGCTCTCAACTCAATTGTTTTGCTCACTGACATACCACTTTCTAATTGTTCACATCTCCATACAAATATCCTGCAACAGTTACGCCAAAAAATTCTGGATTTAATATCAGAATATGGGGACAAGATCAGTGTGAAGGGAATAGTTGAAAAAGAACACAGTTGTGACGAAGAAGAACGGTTGATAGAATGGGGTGAAAACAATGGTGTAACAACACAATTAAAAATAGCTTGTAAGTTTCACTGTGACTTTGCTTTTTAGTTGCTTTCTCATTAAGTGGTTTGTAGTGGATGATTTTTTTTCCCTTTGCACAGGTATTAGCTTTCCTTTAACAAATATAATACAAATTTCTTTCCTCCTTAACATACACAGATATTGAAGGAGCCGGTCGGGGTGCAATAGCCAGGAAAGATCTAAAAGTTGGAGACATTGCTTTGGAAATTCCTGTGTCCACTATCATATCCGAGGAGCATGTGCATGAAACTGATATGGTATGTTTCCTTGGTGAAAAAATGTGAACATAGTTTATTTAGAACCTCTTTAAGAAACCTACTACGATAATCTAATTGCCATTTGTTCCAAACAACTATTGAATGATAATAAATTATCCTTTATCTCCTCTGCATTCAACGTGGTGCCATATTATTTCAGAGTTGAATATAAATTCCTATTTTATACCTGCATTTCATTGGCTTTACAAAATAAGGTCATGTAGGATGTTAGTTAACGTGACCATCCTTAATGGGAGGACTTTCTGTTGGAAAGATTTACTATCTAGTTGGACATTGATCTCTCTTTCTTGATAAGGATATGCGCATTTATTGTAGGTTACATTACTCTTAAAATAAATAGAAAGGGAGAAATGTCGTATGTTCACCACTCCATTATGTTCTTAATAACTGATAATTGCTTTATCCAATTCAGTATGGTGTCTTAAAAGAGATTGATGGCATATCATCTGAGACAATTTTGCTATTATGGAGTATGAAAGAAAAGTACAACTGTGATTCAAAATTCAAAATTTACTTTGACACACTCCCAGAAAAATTTAATACAGGTAATCTTACTTTATTATGACATGCTTTATACACATAGATATAAATTGTGTAAGTTCCCCTAAGTTACAAGTCATGGAGAATCGGAGATGTTTATGCTTAAAACACTTGTAGGTGCTTTTCTAGGGCTTTGAACAGTACCTGCAAACTGTAACTCTAATAATTCGATGGACGTCCAATTATACAATTTTTATATGGTGACTACTCAATTTGTATCTTGAATTTCTCTATTGTCAGATTTGTTATCAACCATATAGAAGTGTTTTGAGTAATAACTTTCCAAGAGTGAGATACCTTTATGTGTAGGTGTCCCTTCTATGTTTTTTTTTTCATGAGGCACAGACCCATTTAGCTCTAAGCGGCCTGTAACTTTTGTCCCTTTTTATTGTCTCTACTTTTAATAGTTGCTTGCCTATTTATCCTCTTGAAAGACCAATGGGAGATTAGCTCTACAGGTGGTCTGGCTATTTCTTGTTATCAAGTGGGAAGCATTTCTTATTTCTTATATCCTTTTAGCTTGTTTAAGTCCAAATGGCTAATATGGTGGTTGTACTATTGCTTGTTTTATCTGATAGTGGGGAAAGTTCTCAAAGATGACGATCAATTACATTACAAGCATGAAAGGACAATTCTGTTATGATTTATGAACTCGATATTTTGGGATATAAGTATTTAACTTCTTTCTAACATTCCAATGGTAATAGTGGAGAAGTCCTCGTTTGGTAATGTTATGGACCTTGCCAAAATAGTGTAGTCACTGTGCCCATGCATTGCTTCCATAGGATATTCATTTTGGTCAGGTGTAATTTTCATGTCATGGAATGAATTCTATAAAGGAAAGAGAAAAATGAGAGACACGGTGATACTTAATATTTAAGCTACCCAATGGAGTCGAATTTAATTAGTAAATACACAGATTACAATGATCCTAATTACTGTAATTATTACAATTAATCTAGATTCTAGACATTATTTGTGTAATCCCTTCTCAAGCTGGAGATATATGTTATATGCACCAAGTTTGTTACATATGTAACTTATCTAAGTACTACTCAAAGACTTGGTGAAAACATCTATTAGCTAGTCATTAAATCTAACAAAGTGAAAGGTGTTGTCTCTAGATAAGATATTCTCTATTGAAATGGCAATCTATCTGAACATTTTTGGTTCTCTCATGAAACATTGGATCCAAGGTGATATGTAGCACACGTGATTATCACAAATGAGTATCATCTGCATAAACCCCTCAAATCTGAGTTTTTGAAGTAATTGTTTGAGTTGAATAAGTTCATAAGAAACTGATGCCAAAGATTGATACTTTGCTTTAGCACTTGACCTTATGATGACATTATTTTCTTACTTTTCCAAGATATACAATATCCACATGTGGATTTCTTATTAATGGGGAAACCCACCTAATCAATGTCTGAGTACCTCCTAGCAATGCAAGTGTGACCTTTATCCTCATAGATAAGTTCCTTTCCTAAAGCCCTTTTAATGTACTTTAGATTTGAATCCCTGTATCTTAATGCCCTTCACAAATGTGAGTTTAAGAACTAACGTACCAAACTGACTGTAAAGGAGATGATGCATGAATGAGTGTTTCTGTGAGATAGTTTGGTTTCTGAACTAATCTACCTAGTGATCATATACCAAGGCTAATTATATGGGCTAAGGTAAATAAAGATGTAACATTAACTTTATAGCATATTTGTATAAATATCATTGTAAATATCATTGTCCACCGCCAATTTTATAATTTCTTTCCCAGTTTTTCCAAATAGCTTTGGCATTTTACTTTGCAGGTTTGAGTTTCAGCATTGAAGCAATTACAATGTTAGATGGAACCTTGCTATTGGAAGAGATAATGCAAGCAAGACAGGTAATCAATTGTTCCAAGGTTATGTATGACACCTGTATTGATCAGCTTGTTTTTAGACTGAAGGTTTTGCCCTCCTTTGAGATGTACCGATGTACCTGCCCCTGTTAAGGATAATATTAAATTCAAAAAATATAACCCAGAATTGCAAATTACCCCAAAAATAAAGCTTGTTAGGCTTGGAGGGATCATTTAGGGTATGTCTGGGAGTTGTGTTTAAGAGGGATAGGCCCGCCCCTTGAATAGGGAGGACAAAATTTTAATTTCAAATAAATATTCTCTAATTTAATAGTTTTTTTACAGATGAAAGAAATAGAATGATCAATTAACATAAGCTTAATTTCCTAGTCTGTTGTTTACTTTTATCAACATTATATAACTATTTAATTTAAAAAATAAAAAAAATTGCCCTCCTTTTGTTTACCCTCTAAAATCATAGTCCTTAAGTCTTAAGGGATTGCCCTCCTACTTGGCTTTTATTGCTGGTAGTATATCCCTTAGCATGCAAAATAATTTTCTTCAGTGTCTTTCTTTGTAATTTTTTTCTTTTATTGTCAGTAGTAGTTAACTACTCTTTTATTTGTTCACTACATACCCTCTAATTTTCTTTTTTCTTCCTTTTTGTGGCAGCACCTGCATGCTCAATATGATGAGTTGTTCCCTGTTCTGTCCAATAATTTTCCTGATATATTTCCACCAGAGCTGTACACATGGGAGAAATTTTTATGGGCTTGTGAACTTTGGTACACTAATAGCATGAAGATAATGTATTCTGACGGAAAGCTAAGAACATGCTTGATCCCTATTGCTGGCTTTCTTAATCATTCAGTATGTATATTCTCTCTGTCAAGTTTTCTCTCCCAATCCCCTTCCCTTTTCAATATTTAGATAAAAGTTTATGATTTTCAAATATTATGCATTGATCAATGAATTCAATGAGAAAACTAAAGGTAACGGAATTTGAACAAATGTTGTACTCAATTAGCTTTTGTTATTTAACCAGTGCCTTTAAAACACTGATTAATGAATCAGATGTAAAAAGATTTTTATTGGGAAGTTTCATTGGAAATCACAATCTTTAACTAGGATACTGATAAGTATTTTCTTTTAAGAAATACTCGTATTTTGCATAGCAGTGATTGACACCTACACATGTTATTTCTCTTATTTTCTTTTTTGGACCCTGACAACAGTTGTGCCCTCATGTGATGCACTATGGAAAAGTGGATCCTGCAACAAACTCACTGAAATTTTGTCTATCAAGACCATGCAGATCTGGAGAAGAATGTTGCTTAAGCTACGGGAGCTTCTCCAGCTCTCATCTAATTACCTTTTATGGTTTCTTACCACAAGGAGACAACCCGTATGATGTTATTCCGTTAGGTAATGTTATCGCTCCATTCCCACCTGTCCATTCATATCTCGAGTAACGTCCCTTCAGAATTTATTGCGCCTTTTGTTGCAAGTTTGCTGAGCTAGCTCTGTCTGTCTGATTGATATTCTAACTAATTATCATTTCCAGACATTGACGGTTCTGACGTCGATTCTAATGAGGATACACCCATGTCCAACTGGACGACTCACATGGTGCGGGGTACCTGGCTCTCCAAGAATCACAACATATTCTACTATGGCCTTCCCTCTCCATTATTGGACAATCTTCGGAGATCTCGAAGTCCCATGCTGCGAACGAAGACTTTTGTACTGTTCTTTCTCCTTCCTATCCTATCTTGTTCTCAAAACTTATTTTTTACTAGAAGTTTCTTATGCAATGCATAGTTTGACCTCACTGCAGAGAAACAAAACATTGCATTCCCCTTTACTCCTTACTCGAACGCATATCAGTCAATATTCCTGCAAGATTAATTTTAAAATCTTCCGATAACACTTTTAAAATCTTCCTATATTTTTACCAATTTTACTCGAACGTATATCAATGTTCCTGCAAGATTAATTTTAAAATCTTCCTGTATCACTTTTTTTTTATACTATTTTTTCTTCTTATTAAATGAAATATAGTTGAATATATTTTATATTTTTAAAACATTAACTGTCCTTATTTGTTTATTCTGTAGTTTCTTTATAAAGTAGTTTTTTTTTTTTTTTTTTATCAAAAGACGAGGATAGTATGTATAAAAAGACAAGGATTGTTAATGAAGGAAAATAAGTTCTTATTTAACATGCACCCTGTACATTATTCTTCCTATAATATAGTTTAGTTTAAATATTGCGTTATTCGTCAAATTTCACTGATTCAACTTTCAATGTATATAATCTTTGTTTTGCAGTTGCAAGGAAGCTTGGAAAATGAGCTGGAAGTTCTTGATAATCTCAAAGATATCTTTGATGACATGATGGATTCTATGGACGAGATCGATCTGGATGACAGGTGAATACCTTAATTAGTTAACTTGCAGAAAGAAATCATGTACTCTTCTCGTGACATAATAATTTTTGTCCTCAGAGAAAACTGCAGTTGGGATGAAAATTTGGCTATGGATTTTAAAATTCTACAAAGACGAATTGCCCATTCTGTTTCAACTTCGTGTCACACTGGTATGGAGATGTTAAAGAACGAACTGTACAAGTGCATGGATGAGGACATCCTAGGCTAATTGAGCACCTTGGATCATTGCCGTTAGATGGTCATTTGGATCTTGTATTATAAAAATTCGTGAAGTTTTGCTGTCATTCGCTATGTGGCCGAGCTTGGTTGCTACACTCTGACACAGACAGCACAGAGTGTCTTTTTTTTACGTGAAATGGATGGTTCTACTTCCAGAGTGAAGAAAGCATTTGCTTGCCGTAGCTATTGGCGCCACGTGTTTTGATAGTGCTAATGTAAAACCTATACCATCCAAAATGCTTTAGAGAAAGATTCGCCTAAATAAAGGCATGGTATGCGCATTTACATTCCCTTTAAAATTATGCGGTCAAGAAAGTCCTGATAATAATAACTATAATAACCAATTTAATCGGCATGCATATAGTGTCCAACCAAAGGAGCAATCGCATTTTGAAAAATAAAATAAACTCAATTTATGTTGAAAATTGATTTTATAGTGTTCAACGCTTCAAACAAATGTGTTGACTTTATTTCTGCATCATACCCATGTGATTCAAGCATTACTATGTGCGTTTTACTTGTTTCTTCGATATCGGATGTCACGGATAAAGATAACTGATAATATTATTTTAAGCAATAAAATATTAATTTAAGAACATGCTTATAATATATATATATATA